CTGTGCATCATCTGGTCTAACCAGGTCTGCAAGGCAAAATTGGGGTTCTGGTAGTTGGGGGGAGGAAGTGTTTAAGAACTAGAGGAAGGTCGTGGGTTTCATTATTGCTATACTGTACCCTAAGTGACCATTTTAAAATACAAGGTAACTGAGTGCAAGCAGTGTGCACAGTGGGTGGCTGGTAGCTTGGTGCCCTGCCCCTTGACTTAACAAACAAGCCAACCAGGATGGCCCAGCGCAGTCTCCCCAGTGGTTATTATAGGGAAGGATGCAGGGTGACAACTTGTCATTCGGGGGTGGATGGCGGGGGGGCGCTTCAAAAGTCCATGAGAAAATAGAATGAAAAGACAGTGGCCATTTTCCGCGAACTTTTTGAAGCCCCCTTATCCAGCTTCATTTTCAGTGCTCCACTCTGAATAAGTCGTGGTGCGACTTTTTGCCCCTTTCTTTCCCTGTTCCTGGGCGTCGCTTAAGCATTCCGGTTGCGTGGACTGTCTCTGTGGGGCCCTGGGGTCCTGAGCTGTGTGGGGGTGCAGGAAGATTGGGCCCCAGTTTGTTGGGGAGTCGGAACATCAGAGAGGGGGTGAAGGTCAAGGTGAAAGGAACTGCCTACACAAACTTGACGCTTGCGTGAAGACTGGCAGACGCTGGCTGCCCACCAAAGTTGCCTCTGTGGCTTTGGTGCCGGGTGCAGAGTGGCCGGGCTCCGTTGGCCCTTGCGTGGGACGCTGTGCTTAGGAGTCTGCCCGGGAGTGAAGTGCAGTTGGAACTGGCTTGGCCCTAATTCTTCGCAGGAATCTCACCACTCAAGAAAGAAACGGGAAACTGCTGAAAAACAGATCGACGACAGCAGGAAATTTTCTCTCTTTAGCGAGAGGAAATACAAGACCCTTGTAAGTATTTTCAGGAGCCGAGAAGATTGGCCAGCGGGGTGGTGGTAGAAGGTGCCCCCCCTCCCCCCAAGCATTGCCTAGTAACCAGTGATCTTCCTCTTCTCTGGAGGACTGCAGTGTGAACGTGCGCTGTGTGCCCATCAGGTGCCCGCTGCGAGGGCTGGACAGCAAGGCGTCTGTGGTTCTGCGCTCGAGGTTGTGGAACGGCACGTTTCTAGAGGTGTGTGTCTCTGCCCTGCCCTGGCCCGCAGGGACTTCTGCCGCCTGCGAGCACATTTCCTGTTAGTCACTCACCTTGTCTCCGACAGGAATACTCTAAACTGAACTACTTGGACATTATGGTGCGGGCCTCCATCAATGTGACTGCCGCCGCCGAAAATATCAAGCTGCCAAACGCAGGCACTCAGGTGAGGGGGAGGGGGGACCCCAGTGCTCGCTCCGGCTCGTTGAAAATCACTGTCTCCAAACCCATGGCCCCGGCCTCTGGCTGATCCTGTCCTGAATCGCACTGTCTTATCCTATTAAGGAGAAAGCAAATAATGTCTTTGCAACCAGAGTTCTACTTCTAACAAGTGGCCAGTGACAACCCGCTGACTCACATTTGTCTAGTCCCATTGGGGGGCGGGGTGGGGGTGGGGTGCCATGCGTCTTGGAGCTGACTGTGTTTTAGTAGTGGTTGAGAAAAAGGAGTGAATCTGGGATCATCTTGTGTATCAGAGTATGTGATAGGCTGGAGAGCCATTGGCCCGGTGGAAGGATACTTTCCAGCCCCGTAGAAACCTCATGGCTTGTAGGGTCTCGGCTGGTGCAGCCATCGTTAGAGTGCCCAGAGAATGGTAACGTCGTCTTTGACCATGGAGGTGTCCGTGCCTTGTGTAACCAGATGCAGTTACTAAAAGACACAACGCCAACCAAATTCACGACCATCGAGTTGACTCCCACTTGCAGCAACCCAGTGGCACAGAATAGGACCGCCCCGATGGGTTTCTGAGCCTGTCTGAACATCTTTACGGGAGCAGGCAGCCTCATCCTTCTCCTTCAAGCGGCTGGTGCATTTGATCCACT